GAGACTCCGAGGGTGGCAGGAGCTGCAGGTCGCCCAGTCGGGAGGAGGGGGAAGGGCAGGCAAGGAGGAGGGGGGGAAGGAGGGAGGGGGCGAGCGAGGAGGAGGAATGAGGAGGGGGGCGGTGGGTGAACGAGCGAGAGGAGGACGCGAGGAGGCGACCAGGGGGGGGAGAGGAAGGATGGCAAGAGAGAGCGAGGGAGCTAAGGGGGGAGACGGAAAAAGGGAGGAGAAAAGATTGAGCGAAGGAGGGGACTGCAAGACGATAGCGAGGAACTGGTGAAGAAAGAGGGGGGCTCCGAGACGATGCTCAGATCGATTGCCGCGCCGGCCGCGATCCCTCGGCGCTCGCTCCCTGCGCACGGTGCAAGCAAAGATCCCGAGCAAGCAAAGAGCTGTCATTTCTCCCCATATGTACATAAACATATTTGGGCACGCTTATACACATGCACGTGTAGATACACAAAAACAAGCATTGATGTATGTACGCATCTGTGATTTAGGGCGCTCCACAAACGGCCTCGCCTTCTGACCTCTCGCCCTCGACGGGGTCTGGCGGAAGGCCAGCGGAAGGAGATGACAGCGACATCAATGACGTTGGCGCCGGCTGCTCCGTTACCAATGCAGGTGGCCAGGACGCTGGCCTCTTCCGCTCTGATGCCAGTGCCGCCAGCATCGTCGGCTCCGTCGCCATCCCCGAGCGCGCCGTCGACTGTTCCGACTGTGCATCGGCCCGCGCCGCAGCACCAAATCATCACTCCACAGAGCAGCCGACGATAGCTGCGCACCTTGCTGTCTGTATTTGTGATTCATCGAAATATTCATTGATGTTTTGAGTGCGCTTGTCCAGGGGCTTTTGCCAATAGGCCGCAAACCATTGGACTCGCAGGTGCCTCCTTCGAATGTCGGGCCTCTTCAAAGCGATCTGCTGTATCCACGTCTGGCAGGAAACCGCAACACCTGGTCACTCTCGGCGGTCGTCCGTTACATTTGTGACCCAGTTGCGGGGTTGCGCTTTGCCCCCGGAATTCGCCCCTTGCGCTCTGAAAGCAGTGTGTCTTCATATAGTTTGTCTTCACGCTCCACGGTTGATGTCGCTCCGACACCCCTTCTGTACAGTCCTTCGCATCAGACAGGCTACCACTGGTGGCCAGTTTCAGTGATACTTCAATTTCAGGTGCCGCCGGGATGCATCTCCACATGCACGGTGTATTCTCATGTGTGTGTGTGTTTGTGTGCGTTTGGCCGGCTCTAGGACGTCACCGTCACCGGCGCCGCCCGGGTGTCAGAGGCACCGCCAGGCGCTGGTGCGCTTCTCTGCAGGCGCGGCGTGCGGCTCGGCGAGGCGCGAGAATTCGTCAGTATCCGTCCGCTGCCGCCGCGGAGCGGCCCGGAGGAAGCTGTGTCAGCGGCGACGCGCCGGCACGAAGGGCACGGAGGCAGAGCTTGGCCATCGGGCAGGGGATCGACTACAGCACCGCCCGTCGCAAGCTTGAATCTACCATAATTTCTTCTTCACCTCCGAGAAGTGGCTCTCGAAGTTCCTGGCGACACAGTCGGCTTCGAAGACATGCCCACACGGCTCCTTCACAAATGGCTTCTTCTGCGCGCGGGCATTCGACAGATCCACGGTCCTGTCTTCCGCCGAGGTGCGAAGGGTACTTGCAGAATGCTGATGCTATGCGCGCGAATCCGCATCGACGAAAACTTGGTCCTGGCTCCTTTCCCCACGGCCAGCTCGTGCCAACGCGTGACACCGTTGGGCCGCATCGAATAACCACGAAGCATGCAGGAACGGCGAACTCTCCGTGCTCCAGCGCACCATGGCGCGCAGAGCGGAAGTTCGTGGCTCCACAGTGGGAGTTCGTGGAAACCCCTCTCACGTCGGAAGACGAGGTCGCCCAAGTCCCTCCGCAAAGCGCGGTACACCTGATCCCTTTGCTTATTTGTTACAAGAAGGCCGCCACGGCGGGGCCATCACAGGAACAGCTCCCCCGACGACCGTGGCAAGGAATGGCGGTTTGGGCTGGAAACCTTGCAAAAAGAGGGCGTCTTGGCTGAAAACCTGACCGGGGGCGCGCGGTCCGCTGGAAACCATGCTCGGGAACGCCCGGGACAACGGTTGTTCGGAAACGCGCAGGGCAGCGCTCCCGTTTAAACAGTACGCGGCTGATGAAGATGGCGACAACGATGATGCGAGGTGGTGATGGTAACGATGCGCAGTGATGGTGATAACGGTGGTGGGCGATGATGACTGCTGGGTACTGGTGACATCGCGAACGAAGATTATGGCTATGATGAGAGCGATGAGAGGGCAAATCTCGTGATGACGGTGAGGATGAGGATGACGATGCTGACGGTGATGGCGGTAAAGGCGATGACGATGATGACGGTGAGAAAAAGGCAGAAGGAAGTCTCCCAGACCTGCCATCGTGCAGGCCTCAGGGCGCTCCCAGACCTGTCATCGTGCAGGTCTGGGAGCCTCCAACGAGATACGAACAGGACAATTGGTTGGTTATCAATCGTCTGTTCCGTCACGTGATGGTGCGATGTGTTATGATACGCATGGGCATGGTATGATATGTTATGTTCTGGCATGTTCTGGTCTGTTATGTTCACTATGCTTCTGCCGCGTTCGTTCGAGAGGCGCGAGGCAGGAGTCTCTGGGGACGCTCGGTACCTGGAGATTTGGCGACCACGGCATGCAGAGTGGGCGGGCTGGCGCGAGGCAGGAGTCTCGGAGTACACTCGGTGGACCTGGGGGTCTGGCGGCCGCCGCGGCATGCAGAGTGGGCGGGTCGCGAGGCCTGTTCTTCAAACCTAAGAGCTCCAACCTGTCGTGTGGGGAACAACGAGAAAGAGGGGGACTGGGACCCGCCTTAGAGTAGCCCTCTTCCTTCTCCTTCTCCTTGTTCTGTTTCGCCTTCTGCTCTCACTCCTTCTTTCTCCCTCCTCTCATCGTTCCCCTCCTCCTCTACCTCCTCAGAGAAAGGTCGAAGAAGTGCGAGAGGGGCGTACGGCCTGAAAGTCGTTCCAAGCAGGCCGTTGCCAACAACAGCTCAAAAGGGAAACCAACGTCAATGTTCCCCCCTTCGCCGTATCCTGGGAAGGGTCGAGAAGCGGCTGCTGTTATGAGGTGGCCGAACGGTCATCCACTGTCCCTGGGTGCTTGACTGAAGTGGGATTCCCCGATGCGGTCTTTTCTTTGTGTTGTTGTTATTGCTGCTGCTGTTGTTGTGGTTGTTGATGATGTTGTTGCTCTTGTTGTTTCTGGTGTTGAATTCTTACTTCTGAACAATAATTATTGCTGATCCCCCCCCACCGGTGCATATTGTTTTTTCTGAATCAAAGTGTGCCCCTCGACGCTCGCACCTTATTTTTTGACAGGGAAAGTCTTCCTGCTCAAACTGGGCCCCTGGCCCCCGGGTTACAACAACAACGGCTCCCGCTTGAGACCTCCTTACAATTTAGCCAGGACCCCCGCTCCCGCCCGAGACTTCCTCGCATTTTATTCAGGAATCGTGCTCTCGCTTGGGACTTCCTTACACTTTATTCAGGAATCGCTCTCCCAGCGCTCTGGAGTCGCGCTTTTGCTGGAGACTTGATTGCAACTTACTGAACAAAAGCCTTGCGTTGGAATTTCCTGCAATTTGCCCAAGCGCCGCGCTCCAGACACCCAGGCGCCCAGGAGTCGCGCCCGTTGTGGCCCCATGTGCATGCCCTTCGCGGCCCCACTGTTGCCATTTGTGTCCCCCTCACTGTCCTACGTGGCCCAGTTGCTACCCTCAGTGGCCCCATAGTTGCCTTCTGTGGCCCCGCATTATCTGCACTTCGTGGCCCCCGCTCGTTCGCGCTCTTCGTGGCCCCATACGCATTCCCTTCGTGTCCCCGCTGTCGCCCTTCGTGGCCTACTTCGTGCCCTTCGTGGCCCTGCTGTCGTTCTCTCTCGCTCTCGCTTTCGCTCGTCGTCGCCGTCGTCGTCGTCGCCGTCGTCGTCGTCGTCGTGGTCGGTCCCCTGTCCGTCCCTCTTGGGGTCGGGTCGACGGTCCGCGGCCGCCCCGCCGATCAGCGCTGCCGCTGGCCAGGCCGACGGTCCGCGGCCGCCCCGCCGCTTGCCGGGGCCCGGCCTGCAGGGAAGAAAGGTATACCCCCCAAAAGGGGTTCGATCGAAGACGAAGAGGGCGGGTATCGAGGGTCTGGGAAATACGCGTTATTGGACACTCGAGCATAGAAGGGCGAACAGTCTTAAAATGATTGTTGCTGTTGTTGTTGCTGGTGTTGTTGCTTTTCGTGTTGTTGCTGCTGCTGTTGTTTTTGGTGATGTTGTTGTTGTCGTTGTTGGTGTTGTTGTTGTTGTTGCTGTTGTTGTTGGTGGTGGTGGTGTTGTTGTTTTAGTTTGGCTTTGTCCCCCCCGCGACCCGGCCCGCGATCCACCCGCGACCTGCCCGCGATCCGCCCATGACCTGCCCGCGATCCACCCACGACCCGCCCGCGACCCACCCGCGACCCATCCGCGACCCGGCCCGCGACCGGCCCGCGACCGGCCCGCGACTGGCCCGCGACTGGCCCGCGACTGGCCCGCGACCCACCCCGCGACCCACCCACATTGCTTTAAAGAAAAAGCAAAGCCTGCGGCGGGCCCGTTGCAGACGTCCCCGCCGCCCCCTCACTCTTATCTACAACTGCGGGGTGCTACGTATCCTCCTCCTCCTCTTCCTTCTCCTCCTCCTTCTCCTCCTTCTCCTCCTCCTCCTCCGCAAGAGCGCGGAAGACGGCGGGCCCGTCGCAGCAGAGGCCTCCTCGTCCTCCTCCTCCTCCTCCTCCTCCTCCTCCTCGTGTGCCTCTTCCTCTTCTTCCTCTTCCACCAAGTTCCTCCTTCTCCTTCTCCTTCTCCTGCCCCCCCTCCCTCCTCCACTACTTCTCCCCCCCCCCTCAGGACAGCGGGCCCCGCCACGGCGGAGATCACTCCCGCGCCGCAAGCCCCCCCCCCCCTATTGGGGCTCCTCCTGCAGGACGGTCACCTGGCCGTCTGGTCCCACCTGGGAGGGTCCAACAAGACAAGGAGGCGCCGGGGGCAGGACGGGATTTGGCCGAGGCGGAGGCGCAGGGCGGTGGTGGAGGGGGCGAAGGGGGGGAGGCAGAGCGCAAGAGAGGAACCCTGATCCGACCAGCAACGAGGCCCTGCCTTGCTCATCCTCTGCATCCCTCCAGGCCGCGGTTGTGGAGGAGGGGGGCAGGAGACGGACCAGGGAAGGATGGGTATTTTGATGCTTTCCCCTTTTCCTCGCTCCTCCGTCCTCCTCCCTCCTCCCGCTTCCTTCATCCTGACTCCTCCTCTTCCTCCTCGTCCTCCTCCCTTTCATCATCATCATCATCATCATCATCATCATCATCATCATCATCATCATCATCATCATCATCATCATCATCATCATCATCATAATCAGCATCATCATCATCAGCAGCAAGAGCATCAGCATCAGCATCAACATCAACATCATCGTCATCATCAATATCATCATTATTGCTCCGTCCTCAGTCCTTCCTTCTCTTCCTTTTTCCCTCTTCCTGCTCCGAGGCAGACATATGTATATGTATATACATACATACAAGTATGTGAGTAAGATTACGTACATTCATATGTTTGCACATATGTGTATTTGTATGCGTGTATGCAGAGGTGTATCATTATGCGAATGTGCAGGTACATGTACGAGTGTATGTATGTATATGTATAAACAAAACATGGGTATATGTGACTGTACACATGTATGTCTGGATGTGTCTGTGCGCATACACACATCTGTAGACATGTATTCCATCGCCCACGGCATTGCGGATAAGGGTGATGGGGGCGGGGGAGGGGTCGTCGGCAGTCTGCGAGACTCGAGGGAGACAACTGAGGAAGCCCGCCGCAGGCGCCGCTTGTCTACACGTTGCATAAAGAGCCCGCCGCAGGCCCTGTTTTATCAAAGCAACATGGGTGGGTCGCGGGTGGGTCGCGGGCCAGTCGAGGTGGGTCGCGGTTGGGTCGCGTCGCGGGTGGGTTGCGGGTGGACATAATCGCGGGTTGATGCCAGCGCGGACAGGTCGCCGATGGGTCGACGACGACAAGCACAACAAGAATCCGCACCGCGGAACCCCACTGCAGGCACTCACCCAGGGACCGTGTAAGACTGCTCGACGCCCTCACTCTTATATGTGTATATACATATGTATATACATATATATAAGTATATATATATATATATATATATATATATATATATATATAGATCCTCCTGAGGGAGTAGAGCTCGGAGGCCATTCTTGGATCCCGCTCGCGATTTGTTTGGCCGACTCGCCTGGGACATTTTCGACACTTTGGACAGCGGACGCACCCTCCCACGCAAATCGTGACGCGGTCCCAAACCATGAGGTATGTTTTACATTTTCACTTTCGCCTTCAAACGCACAATGAGTTTCAATGATGTTGGGTGTCGCAATGAAACAACAGTTTCGCGTGAGGCATCCCCACAAAATTGGCACGACGTCTTCAACGTTGTCCACAAAATTCTTCGAACTGGCAGTTTCCTCGAGGCATGTTCCACCAAATGGCTTCGGAACGTTTTAATTGCAACCGCAAGGTATGAATCAACCTCCTGCGACACACACACACACACACACACCGCAAGGAATGGTAGCCTCACCTGCGTTTGTTCTGCGATCCCGCTGTTGGACCTTCTTTCCAACAGCCACCAATTTCTTATGCTTCTCCATCTCCTTCCTCCGCCTCCTCCTTCTCATCATCATCATCATCATCATCATCATCATCATCATCACCATCATCATCATCGGATCCGCCTTTCTAGTCCTCTGCGATGCTTACGCGCTGCATTTCTTTTCTGTATGAGCCCAGGCACGCATGTGCCACTTGTATATACATGCGTGTGTGTATATACATATATATATGTAGATATGGAGAGAGGGAGGGCTGGGCAGGGTAGGATCATGGGGTCGGCAGCTCTGGCCGTGTTGTCGTTTCACGGCGCCGCGATCTTCTCGCAGCGTCGAACCCGGGGGGAGAGCGAGGTGGCGCGGAGAGGGACGGAAGGCGAGCGAGGGCTGCATGGGGGAGGGGTGGACGGGACGGGCATGGGAGCGGAGAGGACGGGACGGCTGGGTGTGGCGAGAGGGCGACTCCGCCGCGTCCTCCTCGGACTCCTTTCAGCCTTCCCCGAGCCCTTGTCCAGAGCATGGGGACCGCGAGGTATGGCGCATTGGCGCAGAGCGGGGATTCTCCGAGAAGGTGTGTGTATGTGTGTGTGTGTGGAAATGATCCCGAGCGCCTGGGGACCGCTTGGAGTTTGCCATCGCGCGCCAGGGGATGCCTGGTTAACTTCTGGCACACCTGAGGGCACTTGAACGTGCTCAGATGCGCCTGGGAATCGTTCGGGAGCGAGCTCCCAAGGAGCGTTGGGGGCGCGTGCTCGGAGTGCGTCTGGAAGCGATCGAAGTACCTAAGGAGCGCCAGGAGGAGGAGTGCCTAGGAGCCTGGCAGCACCTGAAATGCCAGGGGGTCGCGTCGCAGCTCCCAGGGAGCGCCAGGGGTCCAGAGCATCCACGGAGCTCCCATCGAACGCCGGAGAGAGCGACGAGGGCCCCACTCGGGGTTCCTCTCTGCCCCTCCCCACCCCTGTCAGGGCCTTGAAGGCCAGACTGGGCGGGTGATTCAGCCACGAACGGGGACAGAGGCACAGCCCACCTCCATGCATCGCTCGAGGGAGGGCGAGCCGTACAGATGCCCGCCCCGCAGTCCGGCCGGCGCTCCAGTGAACGCTCAGACCAGCGGTCGCTCCCGCCCAACGCCAGTCGAACGAGGCGCTCGCTTGGGGATGGGGTGAGGGGATTGCGAAGGGGACGAGGTTTGGGGGGGTCATGGGGGAGTGGGTCGGATACGCTGCTGCCTCTTGACGACGTGGGCCTGGCCTTGAGAAGGCTGCCACCCTCATCCTCCGATGGCTAGCTTCCTGCAGGCCCTGGGTCCCGAGACGGGCCCCTGCAGGAAGGCGAAAAGTCTTGAGCGCCCTTGCCGGCGGCGCCACAAGGGGCCTGCTGACACGCACCTCACCAGCAGGAACGACATCCCACTAGCCCTCTGGGCGCAGGTGGTTCCAGTTCGTTCATCCAACTACCTTCTTCCCCTCCAGGGAGGCTTACCACTGCCACTCATGCACGCACACGTCCTTCCCCACTCGACCAGCCGCCAAGTAAGAACCACGAGAACCCCTCTCCCGCCGCGTCGGGGCGGCGCGCGCATGGGGGAAACCTGAAGGTATCAGTACCGCTACTCCCAAGACCTCTCTGGGGGTGCGTTCTGACCATGAAGTCAGGGCGAATCCAGCGGTGGCGACGAGGGCCTCCCAGGAGGCCCACAGAGGCGAAAACGAGGCGAGGGAAGCGGCATGGGTGCCGTTTCTCCTCTCGGGGGCGACGCGTGCGTGCCCCACATGTCACAGGCTGCACGGGAGCGCGCGCGCTGGCAGCCACCGTGGCGTTGGGCGGCTTCACGACCCTCGGCCCCTTGTCGTCGTCCTCCGGCCGCGAGCGGCGCGGCACTCGCGGGCACGCCCCGTTGGGCGGCGGCCTCCTCCTGTTCCGCCTGCTCCCGCTCGTGGTCTGCCTCCTCATCATCACGATCACCATCATCACCACCATCATCGCATCGCCCTCCTCCTCCTCCTCCTCGTCATCGATCTTTCGCATCACCGCCGACAGCAGGAACATCATCCTCCTCCCCCTCCGCTCTCCCTCCTCATCCCCCCTCTTCGGCAGACACTTGCGCGGAATGAGTCAGGGGCGCCAGGATGGGCAGGAGAAGGGAGAACGAGACTGTGAAGGATAACGGCTGATGATAATAAGGGCGGCGAAAAGAACGTAAGTGTCAAGGAGGGAGAAGAGGAGGGATCATTAGGAGAACGGAGGGAGGAAACAAAACCAGCATGGACACCAAACAGTGTGTCAGTAAGCTCTGGATGTGAATTGCATGTGGTGAAAACTATGTGGTGTAATCAGTGTGGGGAACTTTCATCATCAACTCCAACGCTCGAGCAAGCATCCGCCCAACCACAAGCACCGTTGTGGCAAAACTTACCAGGCGCAATGCCACGACAACGCTTCTCACTCATATCTATACCTCGGGCGGGCGAGTCATGGTGGTGACGACGGCATCGGCGGCGGCGACGATGGTGATGGTGGTGGCGCTGATGAAGAGGGAGACGACGACCAAGATGATAATGGTGACGACGGCAACGATGGTAACGACGATGGTGATGGTGATGGTGATGGAGATGATGATACCAGTGGTGGCAATGATGAGGCTGGCGATGATGATAACGATGGTGCTGATGAGGACGACGTGAACGCATAACTTTTACGAAGGCGACGACATCAACGATTACAATAAAAAACTACAGTGGTGATGCTGATGCCGTCGATGATGATGATGATGATGATGCTGATGATGATGCTGATGATGATGATGATGCTGATGATGATGATGATGATGATGATGATGATGATGATGATGATGATGGCAATGACGGCGCATGCGACAATGACGATGGCGCTGGTGAGGAAGGTGAAGAAGTGCTCGCACGAGAAACCCCTGACGTAACCCGCATTTACTAACAATTGTTTTCTCATTTGTTCTTGAACACCTCCGTGATGACACAGCATGAGACGCACCCATGGTTTACAATGATTTCGACAGATGCGCACGAAGACGCTGACAGAATTGGCGGGTGTGCGATGACTATTGAATGTTTTCGACATGTGCGCATGTGTGGTCCGCAGTCGCTCTTTGGACAGAACGGCAACAACAAAACAACTGTTTCTTACAAATGCAGCCAGTGCGCGCCCACAGAATTCTGGCAACTTTCTATCATCAATCGCCCGGATGTTATTCTTTGTTTTGTTTTCTTTACAAAACGCATTGGTTAGATCAACGTGTGTGCCTTGCATGGTCTTATTTGACGAGGGAAACGGGCGTTGTCGATACAAATCGCTTGGGCGTGATATTTTTTCATATCTAAACTGAACGACGGTGCAGAATTCGCAGGGGAACATTATACGAACAGGCGGACTGGTAAGTCCGGCGTCGGCATGAGGGTACACTCGACGATTCATTGAAAGAGCGGCCCTTTGTGACTGAACATCTGTGGTGCAAGCCATGCGGTCCAATTTATGTAGTGCAATGAATTTTGGCCGCATCTGCGCGTGACATCCTCCACTGCTCGCGCTTATATCCAACTGCGCGGAGGCAACGACGACGACGGCGCTGGAGGCGATGTCGGCAACTAAATTTTCTTTAGGTGATGAGGGGGATGGTGATGACAATGGTGGTGGTAATGATGACGATGGGGATAATGACAATGGTGCCGGTGAGGGCGACGAGGACGTGCGCGTGCTCAGAAGTTTGACGAGGGCGATGACTTCAACGATGACAGCGGTGACGGTGATCCCGACGATAGTGATAATGATGAAGATGGCAATGGTGACACTGACGATGGTGATAACAAGTGAAATGGTGAGAGTAACGAGAGAAGGCTCGCCCGCAGAAATTCTGACGCAGTGGCCTGTGTTTGTTATTGAAGGCCGTTTGACTTCCGTATGTCTTTGAGCACATCCGTGCTGAAATGGTTGGAAACCCTTCTGGTTTTGGTAAGATTTCGACGCACGCGCGCGGAGTCGCGCGCGTACAGCCCGCACGTCATGATTTGACAGAGTTGGCGGTCGCGCGATGGTGGTTGAACGTTTTCGACATGCGCGCGCAAGTGGCCCGCATGCTCTGATGTTACAGGATGGCCAAATCGAAGTATAGTTTTCTTCCGACTTAAGCGGGTGCGCGCAGAATTCTGGCAATTGCGTTGTTGAAAACGCATTCGTGTAAACCATTGGTTGTTGTTTAGGATTTGGCTCGCCACGTCTTTACACTGCAACAACGTGGTAGCTGAAAGATTTTGATGTGCGCGCGCGGCGGCGCGTGCATATGCCCCGTAACGCATCGTTCACAAGGGATTCTTAAACCAACAATGCTTCGTACGTCGGCGCACGTGCATCGCATATATGTTTTCGCCGGAGATGGCGGGAGGGGGTCGATACAGGCCTGGCCGGCATGGTACGATGTGATCTTGAGGATCCGCGACCGTGGTGAACGAATGGGAAATCACAAGATACGGAGGGGGACGGATAACCTCGGCCTCGGCGGGGGGGCAAGACTCGAACCTCTCTGGAGAACAGAAATCTTTCGCCGCGTCGTCGCCCGCGGGTGCCCGTGAGGCACCCGCGGGCGACGGCGCGGCAAACGCCCCCCCAGCCCCAGCCAGCGCACGGGGCGCCCACGAGGCGCCCACGGGCGTCGACCAGGGTAACACCCCGCCAGGTCCAGCCAGCGCACGGGGTGCCCGCGAGGCGCCCAATCTCCGCGGACCCTTCAATTCCTTGGGAAGCGAAGGAAACTTACCCATGTGCAGGCAACGGTTGGGGGAACAAGAGTGAGGAGAAAAGGAGGGAAGGGAGAATGAGGGAAGGATGAAGTGAGGGAGGGGCACGGAGGGGTGAGAGGAGGAGGCAGGGGACAAGGAGAGCTGGAACATGGAGGGAGGACAGGACTTCTTGCACCCATGTTGGGGCAGGGCCAGACCCTTCGGCACACGCACACGCCGTCGGTAGCCAATTTGCCTCAGAAGAGTTTCGCAAGGGGTGAGCCTTCAGGGCGAGACGGAGGACGCAAACGCATCGACGTGCTTTCATCGTCCTGCGTTGAGTGCCTAAACTTGCCTGGGTGGAGACGACGGGCTTGGCAAGGTAGGAGAGAAACCTGCAGACACGGAGACTTTTGGAAATCTGCGCAGATTTCTTGGGTCGGCGCTGGAAGCGCCGCCAAGGGGGGGCCCAGCGCAGGTCCAAGAAATCCGTGCGGACCCTCGAAAGTTTGTGCATGCCGGTTCTCCGAGTTCATCGTCCTGCCTGGGTGTCCTAGCTTGCTCGGATCGGGGGGGACCCGAACAACGAGATCTGGCTGAAGAAGATATACTTGGAAAGCGCTGGCCCCCAACGAAACAACTCCAGGAACTAAACCAGGAACACGGAGAGCACCACGCCCATCGACACATTCTGGTACTCTTCGACCGAAGGGGGGGCGATGCACTCAGGGCTTTGGACGCCCGACATGGGTACAGGGAAAAGGGGTACGATGCCCAACATCATGTGTTGCCCGACACCGACAGCGGACGCTGTCGGGCGGGCGATTTCCTGTCTCATATGGACAACGCCCGCGGCGGCGCCGATAGTGAGCCCTGTGCTGAATGAACAGGACCTGCTGTCGGTCTTTGTCCCCGTTCTTTCCGTACCCATTTCGATCGCACCGAACTCAGCTGCCCCGATACGTAACACGCAACCCGCAGCGTGTTCACATGGAGCTCAGCACGTAGACTCGCAAACGTGGGCCAACAAGTGGGCCAACAAGGAGCTGCAACGATACGTTCGCCAACATGTGGTCCAACACGTGCCGAGCCAACGCGCAGCGTGCTAGCACGGACGTTCTGAACATGGCACGTGTTGCGTTTCAACACGGGCGTCTCAAGGCAGCAACGTTCCTCATCCGTGTCGATCGCACTGGGGGCCAGGGCTAGCCGACTCCTGGACGGGGTCCAAGTAGATGAGGTCGGAGGATCGCGCCACATCGCCAATGCAGCGGCGATGTATCGCCGATGAATCGGCAATGCATCGGCGACGTCGGCGATACATCGGCGCCGTCGGCGAGAAGAACATCGGGCTCCACGTGGAGCCGCATCGGCGATGCGGTGCGATCCTCCGACCAAATTTGCGTCGACCCCATCTGAGAGGCCTAGAGCTGGGGGCCAGGGCGGGGGGGCGCCGAAGTCTGGGCCGGCCCCGTGGTGCGCGACGGGCCCCGCGCAAGCCGATCGGCGCGGCGGCGGGCCAGAGGCCGGCGGCGGTCACAGCAGGCAGCGGCGAGGCTGCGTGTTCCGTTCCCGGGGCCCTTGGCACCCAAGAGTGGTGGCAAGCGCTGGTCCCCCTCCTCCTCAATATTGCTGATTGCTGGTGCTGCAGGGGCGTCAATCTGACGCTGCCTCGCCTTCTCTTGCCCTCGCCACCTCCTACTCATCGGCTCCTCTCTCCCAAATCCCCATCCTGCTGCCCCCAACCTCCCCGTGCTCCACATCCTGCTCCTCCTCCTCCTCCTCCTCCTGCTCCGCCTCCTCCTCCTCTTCCTCCTCTCTCCTCCCTCACCTCCCCCTCCTCATCTCCCTCGTCCCCCTCCTCTCCTCCTGACTCTCCTTACCCTGATCCTTCTCCTGGTCGCTTCGCCAAGAGAGGGCGCGGGGAGCACGCAGACCTCAGAGGTGCGCGCAGTCCTCGGCTCTGCCCGTCTTCCCCGCGTCGCGGTCCTCCTTGGCCTGCAGCATCTCCTGGGTGAGGAGGGAGGCTAGGTGCAGAGAGAAAGAGAGAGCGAGAAACACGGTCTGGGTCCGAAGACACAGGCGTGGAAAAGGCGGCGGTGAGGTAATGCGCCAGTCGTCAGGAGCAACACTTCGCACGCGCCAACGTGCAGACGTACGGTATACAAACTTCACCGCCCAAGGAGGCGAGGAAAGGGAGGATGTTCGGGAAGGACAAGGAGGCCATGTAGAGAGAGATAGAGAGAGAGAGAGAGAGAGAGAGAGATATAACAAAATATGCAAGGAGGGGGCGATCAGACGGGAAACGGGGCACGCCCACCCAGGCGGTGAAGGTAAGACGAGGACGAGGGACGATGATGCTGCCGACGACGGGGAGCAGGAAAAGGCGGGGGAGAAGGTCCTTCTCGAACTCGTGGAACCACGAGCCCTGGCCGTCGGTCGGGGCCTCCTTCGGAGCCTCTCCAGACTCGATCGCGAGGAGGTCGCCCTCCGGCTTTTCGTTGGGGTCCAGACCTCGGTAAGCTCCGCTCCAGCGAGGGGGAAGCTGAGGTGGTCATCGGTCGGGGGTGGGCGGGCAGAGATGGAGAGATACCGTTAAGAGAGCCGTGAGGATGCGAGGGAGGGCCAGCAGGAAGCGGCGGATGTGGAGGCGGGGGGGGAGAGGGAGGAGGTGGAAATGCGCCAACGTGTCCCCTGGCACGCTGAGGCGTGGAAGAATGCCGGGTGCTGCTAGGCAGAGTTCTTGTATCATATACTATTATTAGCCAGCGTGGACCTCAGACAGTAGGTTCTCGCAGTCTATGCGGCGCAATCTACGTGGTGCAATGTATGCGATGCAATGTACGTGATGCCCATTACGCGGTGCAATCTATAGGTGTGCTTTTACCACGCTAGACCCCACGCGCCCACCTCCCATGCTTGTGCAAACATCCCACCCTCCCACCCGCATCTTGGTCGGCAAAACTCAGAAGGTCGCGACTGCAGCTGCAGCGTGGAACCCTTCCGCAAACTTCATCGGGCTCACTGGCACGCGGACCCTCGTGGCGCAGGCAAAGCCCATCTTGCAGGAGACAGCGCGGACGACAGCGTCGACAAACGACGATGTGGTGGTTGGCAGAACTCATAAGGTCGCGAGTGCAGTTGCCGCGTGGAGCTCCTCCGATAAGTTCATCGTGTTCGTTGGCGCACGCTCGTCGCGCGGGCAAATCCATCTTGCGGGAGACAGTGCGGACGACGGAGTCGACAGACGACGATGAGAATGATCACGACGCTTCCGATTGCAATGATTACGACGACGGCGCCCCGCATGGTATTATTTCACACGGGCCATAACTTTGGCAAGCACGCGAGGGCATTGGAATACTTTCAAGATGCGCGCGCAAAAGGTCTCCTTGGACAAGAAATTTGAAACACAAAAAACCGTGAGCCCCTAGGAATCCGCAAAAACGCGCGGGATGGAATGTTGACAACTTGTTGTTGGAAAAACTTTGGGTTGTTTGATGCGTTGGCGCCAAACTCGTTACGAAAACAACGGTTGTGCAAGGATTTCGTTTTGCGCGCGCGCATGTGGCCCGCATGGAATTATTTCATGTGGATTCGTGCATTCAACTCATCTTAGATCAACGCATGTGCACCGCATGATATTATTTGACAATGATGATAGGAGGCCCGATACCAAGACCAACTGGGATGGTATGATCTCATACGGCTAATGAAAACGGAGGCACATACATACGTAAGTTGGAATACCCCCGGGGGGTGGCAATCCTGGGGTGGTGGGGGGGTCGAATCAATCTGGCTTTTAAGCAAAAAGAAAATAATATATGTGGTGCGGTTGATTTTCACAAAACAAGTTGACACATCGCATGTTCTTGCAAATCCCTCCCACCGGCCCGCAACTTGGTTTGCAAAGCTCATGCGGTGGCGATAGCATGCTTGGCGTTGGCTGGTGCATCTCTGCGGCCGCGCCAACCCAAACACACGCGCGCGCAGCGGCCACCTCGTTTGGCGCGACCGACGCGGCCGCGGTGGCGCTGACCGCTGGGCACATCCCAACGGGCACTTCACTGCGAGTGAGCGAGCTGGGCGGGCGCGGTATCGTGGCAACGCCGACAACAATAGACGCGATGATGATAGTAACGGTGCTGGTGGCGATGTCGACAACGACGAAAGCGCGGCCAGTGCGGATGCCGATGCTGCGTTTTGGTGATTTGGTGATTTGTGATATAAAAAACGCGCGCGCGTGGTATTTGTTCGCAACAGATGGCTGGGGGGTGTCGGTACCAGCCACCCTGGGGTGGTGCGAACTCATATTTAGGATGGGCGAAGGGGCAGTATCATGGTTGGATAACATCGGGGGGGTGGTATACTCGATTCTCGCTTATGGCAAAAAATCTATGCGACGGCGACGGCGGCGACGGGCGGCACCGCCCGCAAAGGCAGCCACACGCCCCGAGCGGCGGCGACGGCGACGGCTGCGACTGCGGCGACGGGCGGCGCCGCCCGCAAAAGCCGCCACTCGCCCCGAGCGTCGGCGACGGCGACGGCGACGGCGGCGACGGGCGGCACCACCCACAAAAACCGCCATTCACCCCGCCCCCTGTTTGGGTAATACAGGGGTAATGTAATACGGGGTAATACAGGGCCCCCACCCCCTTTGCTCGCAGACTGCTGCGTGCATCCCCCCTACCCAACGAGGCCAATTTCCTCGTGCCCGCTCGAAGATGGTGCACCTCCATCACGGCAGCCCATGCCTACACCCCCCCTTCCACGCGTGCCCCCTTGAGGGTGGTGCGCTTCACGCATGGCAGCTACTTACTGCTGGAACCCCCCTCCCACGCGTGCCCACTCGACGATGGTGCACTTCCCGCACGGCAGCTAACGCATGAACCCTCATTCCATACGAGCCCGCTTGGGGATTGCGCACTTCTCGCCGCCTGGCTGCTACCCCCAAGACCCTCATCCCACACGAACCCGCTCGAGGATGGCGCACCCCCCGCATCCCGAACCCCCTATCCCGAAACCTGGCCACACCTGGTCCGGTCAAGATGATCCTGGCAGTCAAGAGCCTTCAAGAACCACCGCTTGGACCAGGCACCCTGCTCGTTGCACACGGCGGAGGGGCGGCCACGCCTCATGAAGTAGCACGCTGGTTCCTTTCCAGGGCGGGGTGTATCCGCATCATGGTGGCCACCCTCCGGCGTTGAGGAACGTCCGCCTCATCAGCTGTGCGACGCTGGCTGCGGTTATGTGGTTTGACTATGTGGAGAGGTCTGTGCGGTGCAACCCATGCGGTGTAATAGCTGATGCGGAAGCGCGGAAGCGAAGCGGTGTAAACTATGCACCAATACAAGCACTGTTGCGCCAACAGCGCGAGGCGGCCGTGAGGAACCCACGGCCGCTCTCCCGGCGAAACATCGACAGAACCAGTCATCCCACGGGGCGCCCATGAGGCGCCCGTGGCGGACCACAAGGCGAGCCCTCGACAGACCTGCTCAGCAGGGGCGCCAACGAGGCACCCACGACCGCCCACGAGGCGGAACCTCGGCAGACCCGGCCAGCGCACGGGGCGCCCAAGACGCGCCCACGGCCGCCCACCAGACGAAACCTCGGCAGACCCATACGTGAGGACCAGAAGCAGGATCCCCTGGGCGCACCGCTTGGGAAATATCGCACTTCCCCCCCCCTCTTCCCATGGTCATCGCTATCACAACCATGGTCATCATCACCCCTCCCCTGGCTGCAACGTAGTCATCCTGGTCCTCCTCCTGCTTCTCCGCATCCCTAAGCATGCGCTCCTGCAAGCTTTCATCACCGCCACCCCTCTCCATGTTCCATCATCCCTGTAAGCTTCCCCAATTCCTCCTGCTCCTGCTGCCGCTGCGCCTCTGCTGCTGCTTCTCCTCCCCATCCTCCCTCATCCTGCTGTTGCGTCGGCCCCACCTCTTAGTCCTCCCCCTCCTCCTCCTCCTCCTCCTCCTCCTCCTCCTCCTCCTCCTCCTCCTCCTCCTCCTCCTCCTCCTGCACTGCTGCTGCTC